TGGCAGGTTAAAACCGGTCCAAATTGTAGCCAGCACTACTCCAGACAGTTTCAATTTCCAGAAATGGCCTTTCTGTTCTTTATTATAAAATGAATTATATTTGTTTCAGAAGATGCTGAGAGTATAGCATGAGTAAGCATGTAAATAAGCTTATGTGTTTTTACATCCAACCTCTCATTTCTTGTATGGTGCCCAGTAGACTAAGAATTCCCAGAGTCAGTGTTACACCCCCAATTCTGCTTGCTTTTTTGGTATCATGTAATTCTTTCTTACACAATCTTCAAGTACTGTTCCTGTAAAATCAGGCTCACTGCATTCTCTTTTCTTCCCCCCGCCAATTACCAGATGATTAAATATACTGATTAGAGTACCATCACCTAACTCAATAAATGTGCTAATTACAGATGATGAGCAAAATTCTAGCCCACAAACATGGAATCTGACTGGCAGAAATTGTCAATTTACTGTGTTCTTTTCAATGAATAAATCGATGCATTATGTTCCCCAGTAAAGCTTTATCAATGCTAACTTTCTTGGGTAACACGCATGGACAGTGTCTGAGCTCATCCAAGAGCTTTTTCAATTTAGCTTTAATGTGTACTGCAAAAAGCCCTTGATATTTCAGTGCTCTTGAAAAATATTTGGAAATATTTCCAAAATTTCTTTTAGACAAATACTTTCAAAGCACCTAGTGACTTGAGGATACTTCAGAAAATTGAGCCTGCAGCTGGTTTTAGTCACTTTCCAGAAAACTGGAACGTGAAATAAACAATTCCCGAAAATCAGGCTTCTGTCAAGATGAAAGCATACCAGTGCAGGACCAACCACAGGCATAGGGAAACTGAGCGTTTGCCCTGAGATTACTGAGGGTGTGGGGAGGGAAGAAGAAAGTACCCTTCAAATAGTTATGCGCCAGCAGAAATGCCTAGGAGAACTTGCCACTACTGCTGATATTGATCTATATTTTTGAAAATATCTATGGTACTCGGTAAATGGTGCATCCAGTCCAGACAGAGAGTACAGAATAAATTAGATACAAACTTTCAGGGCACAGTTGCTCTTTACCACCTTACCCCATTCAGTTTTCTCTACTATTTGTAGTCTCTGTAATACCACATGCAATCAAATCTGTAAGAGTTTTCTTCACTTATTACTTATAATATTGAGAATGTGCATATAGACACTGACATTTGCTGTTTATATACTTCAAGCATTACAATCCAGCATGTTACAGTTGTGAAGAATACTTTTCTATATCTAGATTATTTACAGTACCTTTCTGTAAGGAAAAAATAATTTGCAAAAGTAGCTAGTCATTCTGTATGAACACAAGCCTTGGATGAACCTGGAACCTGTCTAAAGGGCAAGAGT